TATTAATTATGAATATGTGAGTTGATGGGGAATAGGAGAAAATAAAAGTGCCACCCATTTAAAGATCAGGCTGTTTAGCTACCACAGCTGCAGCTGGATGTTGTGGTGTGATGTAGTGCCTCTTGTCACATGGTGCCCAGTGATGCTGCTGTCATGTAGAACCAGCCCTGGGGGCCTTTTAGGTGGAGGTGGGGACTGTCATATATGATTACCGTAAGTCAGCAGTGCTGCTGCAAGCAGAGGCAGAATGGCATAGTGTACCAGGCAGGCTGGCAGCAGTGGTGAAAAATAAAATGTAACTAATTGCATTTTTTAATTTTGAATTGAACTACTGGTACTGGCACAGCCATGCAAAGCCTAGCACACACTGGCAGAGCTCTGCACATGCTTCCCAAGCTGTGCACACTTGTGGGGGGACTCAAACCTGTGGCAGCAGGGAGCCAGCATCATTGCTGTACCAAGGGCATGAAGCTGATATCTCCCTTCCTGGGGAGAGCCCCAGAGAGCTGGTAGGGGGCACTGTTGCCTCTGCTTGCCCACCCGGCTGCAGGTGGCTGGAAGTAGTGCACCCCTGCTCAGGCTGAGGGGACCACGCTCCTCAACGCAGCCCAGTCCCCTCCCCGTGCACTGCCGGAGCAGAGCGGAGTGGTGCAGCGCTCGGGACTCCCTGGGGGGGCAGAGCTGCCCGCAGGTCACAGGGAGACTGAGCCGGAGGCCTGGGCAGGGATGGTGTGAGGCGCAGCACCAGCTCCCGCAGCGCCCTGCCCAGCCCTGCCTGAGGCCGAGCCGACCGCTGGGAACGGGTGGAGCAGAGCCTGGAGCTGGAGGAGGAGGAGGGACCCGCGCTCCCGCCAGGGCAGGAGTCCGAGCCGCGTCCCCAGTGGGCTCCAGGCGGGGTGGCAGCTCCCTGCTCCGACCCCCGCTGGGCTGCACGTGAGGTGGGCTCCAGCACACCCGGGGCTTTGCGTCAACTTCCTCCAACAGCGGGGCCGGCATCGCATTCGCTGCTGGGCCCAAGGGGCCTACGACCGCAGCGTCGCAGGGCGATGCACAATCCGAGCGCCGAGAGAGGCGATTGGTCCGCGTCACAGCTCGGCGTCGGGCGGGGCCATGTGGGCGCTTGCTACTGATGTTGCGGCTGGGGAGGCTGTGCCCGGTGTCGGTCCAGAGCAGCAGGGCAATGGCGGAGGCGGCAGCGGGCGAGCCGTGCCGGGAGGGCGGCGAGCGTGAGGATGCGCCGCCCGCGGCCAAGAGGCGGCGGCTGCAGGCGGGCGGGGTGGAGCGCTTCGTGCCGCCGCCGCGGAAGCGGAACCCGGGCGTGAGCTTCAGCGAGGCGCACTTCGCCGAGACTAGCTACTACTTCGAGGGCGGCCTGCGCAAGGTGCGGCCCTACTACTTCGACTTCCAGACCTACTGCAAGGGCCGCTGGGTGGGCAAGAGCCTGCTGCATGTCTTCGCCTCCGAGTTCCGCTCCCACCCGCTCGCCTACTACCGCGTCGCCGCCCGCGCCGGCCGCCTCCGCCTCAACGAGCAGCCCGTGCGGGACCTCGACGTCGTGCTCAAGGTGCGCGGCCTGCTCCGCCCCGCCGGGCTCTCGGGCCCGGCGGCAGCAGGTCCTTGCATCAAAGAAAAACTGCTGGTTCAGGCCCCAGGGTCAGCAGAGGAGCTGGAAAAGCTCGTGGGGGGCAGCTCATCTTGGCAGCGAGGGGAGGTGGGCATGGCAGCACTCTGAGGAGTGTGGCAGGGAGCTTGGGAGTCTGCCATGTCAGTGCCCTTCTGCCCGGTGATGAGCTTCCCCAGCTCTTTGCCACACAAGAACAGCTGTGCTGTATTTTCCACACTTGAAAAGCAAGTGACAGCCGAGAGCTGCTATGTTCCAGTTTGCCCATGAACATTGCCAACGGCAGCCTTCAATCCAGCCTGGTGTGGAGGTCGGGTATCTGCCTTTCAGATTTTCAGCTAGGGCCTGAAATAAAGGTCACGCTAAAGAGCCCAGAATAAGTCTTGAAATTAGCTGAATGTCAAGCAATAAATTTGCTCGCTAGCTCCTGGCTATAGCTGCTGTAGTAGGCAGAGCGCATGTGCCAGAGAAACGGAGCTGATGTGTGATGTCAGCTCATCACTGTTCCTGTGCTACTTTTTTTCAGTTGCATTCAGGAGCTGCTGAGGTGGTCTGTCAGTGTGTAGGCAAGACTTACTTGTGATGATGACATCACGCAAGATGGGGTTTTGTCTCTTCCTGGCTTGATAAAATGGGACAGGTCACACACAAGAGTACAAGGGTGCAAGTCTGGGCTGTGCAGAGAGAGCCCCGCTATATCTGTGTGCACTCATTCTGGAAATGGAAGCTATGCAACTGCATTAGTGTGGCAGTGGACACAGGCTAACAAGCCATAATCTAATCAAACTTGGGTACAGATGCTTATTCTGCTTGTTCTAGAGCTAACTTGAATATTTTATCATGGTGCAGGGTGTCTTGGGGTGCTATGTAAAAATGCAGTAGCCTCTGTAAATGCCATAATTGGAAAGTAAGGAGTCTGTTGGTGTTAGGAGCAGATAAACTTACGCAAGAAACCTGTCAGCAGAATTCACTGCTGCAGGAGTTTAAAAGTAACATTTTATCTTTTTGGAAAGTGCTGTGTAACTTAAAGTACAGCTTCAAAACTAAAGGTAAAAGGAAACAGTTTTCCAGAACCTACAGCATCAAACCTGCAGCAAGTAAGATAAAATTTACTCTGAGGAGAAAAAAAGGGTAGTTTTGCATAACAGCAGTGGGTTGTGTTGAGTTTTCCCTTTTCTAAGAAACATTAAGCACAGTATCATTGCTTGAAGCAGGTAATTGAATTGGATGGCCCAATATGCTGAGTCATTGCAGTATATCCTATTTTCCAATATATTTTTGGTTTGTTTCTTAACCACTATTGAATCCCCACTTGTGCTGGAATGGAGGATACATATGTTCCCTATTTCTAATGAAAAGGACACTTTGGGAGATTCTCTCTTCCAGTAATTTTGTTTCACTTGTAGAATAATGACTTCCTGAGGAATACTGCGCATCGCCATGAGCCTCCAGTCACTGCTCAGCCTATCCAGGTTTTGGCAGAGAATGATGAGATGGTTGTCGTGGACAAACCTTCTTCTTTGCCAGTACACCCATGTGGCCGATTTCGGCACAACACTGTCATCTTCATCTTGGGCAAAGAGCATAACCTCAAAGAGTTGCACACTATTCACCGGCTTGACCGCATGACTTCTGGTGTGCTCATGTTTGCCAAGACTCTAGAAGTGTCCAAAAGGATTGATGAGCAAGTTCGACAGCGGCAGGTAAGGTTGAGGGTCTTACACAGTTCTCGAAGTGCACCTTTAAAGAGCTCTGAAAGCGTGTTTAGTTAAAGTAAAGCCTGTTGGCCAAAGTTTTGAGTACAGCCTGTGCCTAAGGGCATTTCAGTTTAGGGTCTGTTATTTCAAAAGGTCATGTGCTAGTGTTAAAGGTGAAGGCATTTGTATGCATTGCATTTCCCACAAGCTGCAGTTGGGAGACCATTAAGCTGTGCCTACGTGCCACAGTCATTGGTATGGTACGATTAAGAGAAATTTAAATTTTCTACATATGACCTCTTGGTCAGGATATGAGATGGATTCTGTCTTGTCTCAGACCTGCTCTGCTTCATTTTATCAGCTTATATAATGCTTTAACGTAATTTATTCTAGTTTATCCTTGTCAAAAATCTCCCTTTCCAAACCTGGAGTTCCACATATTGGTGTTTTGCATTCCCCAGAGAACAAAGGATTTATTGATATTTTTATTAATAACCTATTTCAGAGGTGCTCAACCTCTGGCTTGTTAGCAAATAAAAACCTAGGATTCTGGACCAGTCCAAGGATTGACATGACACCTCATTCGATAAGTGACAGAAAAACTTTATTTACTACAGGTATTCAAAATCAAGTCAAGTGAACCCAAACCAAATCAAAGTCCCAGTAATTAGCTATAAAGTGGTGATTTCTCACCAAACAGACAACAAAGAGGCAGTCTGGTTCTCTTCAACTTCTTGAGTAAGTTGGTCACATCAGCAACTGGTGTTAGAGAGATTTCTCACTCTTGAAGCGCACACGCTGTTTGCTGTTTTACTGCCTTTTTATACCCTTAGCTCGGCATCATCAAAGCATTCTTTTAGTTGCGTAAATCAAGAGAGAGTCCCAAGTAGAAATTGATGGGGAAAATCCTGTTAATGAACCTGCTCATTACTGGTTATCAGAAATTTCTAATTTGAATGAGTTACCTTCTTCAGTAACAAGAGGTTATCCAGTTTGGAACATGTCAAGAAACTGATTAACAGCCAGGAAAAACATACGTGTCCTTGGACTAAATCAGGAGGAGACGTCTATCACATATGGAAAATGTCTCTTCCTGCACATCAACATGAGTTAATTGCAAAATAAATATTTACCATGCTAATTAATCAAGGATAGACATTTTATATGGTTACACACCAGACAACTAGGAACAGGAGCCTGCCTGAAATCACCCAGGGAGAGGGGAGTTCAAGAAGGGTGGTTGCTCCTCAAGGGAGCGATCCTCAGTGCACAAGCTAAGTCTATTCCATCTCAGAGGAAAGGCAGCAAGAGGACAGCAGCCCCCCTGGCTCTCCAGGGACCCAGCAGACCTCCTAAGGCTAAAAAGAAAGGCCTACAAAGGATGGAGGATGGGATTCACCTCCAAGGAGGATTATTCTGCACTGGTCCAGTCCTGCAGGGAGCAAACCAGGAAAGCCAAGGCTGCAACTGAACTCCAACTAGCTTCAAGCATCAAGGACAATAAAAAGTCCTTTTTCAGATATGTGGGGAGCCGGAGGAAAAG